TCTTGCCTCCTCAGTACCACGACATCGTCCGAGACGCCTTGGGCCAGCGGTATTCCCTGCTGCCCTTCTGGTACACTCTCTTCTATCAGGCCCATCGTGAAGGCATTCCTGTCATGAGGTAAGGCATTCAGTTGGGTCTGTGTGGAGTGGGCTGAGGTGACTGAGGGACAGTGGGGACCGGGCTCCATCTCTGGGCCTCTCTTGTCACTCACCAAGAGCTTATAAAAGAGGGAAATTCTCGTTTCAAGGTCAAGAGTAAGAAGAGACTAAGGGGAAAGAGCAGCAGTAAACCTTACTGCCAGGCGTTGTTTGTCACTATCCCCAGAGCCTGAAACAAGGCAGACAAGAGTCTTTCTGTCCTTGGGAGCAAGACAGACGTATGCAAATATACAAATAAGAAAATCGCTAACAGCGATAAGCCCTTTGAAAAAATAAAACAGGGTCATAGAAATAGGTTCTAAAAATGGCCTTCTTAAGAAGAAGGGCATGTGAGAGGTGGCCTGACGAGTGAAGAAGATGGACTCCTGTGACCTAGAGGAAGAAAGTTCCCGCAGAGGAGGCTGCAAGTGCAAAAATTATAAAGCGCCAATGAGTTTGTTGTGTTCCAGCAGTAGAAAGCCCAGTGTGTCTCAGGGTAAGGAGCCGGAGGGACAGGTAGAAGATGACATGGGAGAGGAAAATTCACCGGATCCAGGACAACAAAATGGTCCCTTGGAGAGTTGCGTGTAGAATGTTTCAAGACAGGACGGGGGAGGAGGAGGCAAGGAGATGGGTTAGCAAGTTCATCAACTGGCCCAAGGGTAGGGTGCATGGCTGAGGCCGTCAGCTCGGTTGGGCCGTCTGGTCGCAGGCTCTTGGGTTGTGCTCTTCTTCCCTCCAGTTCCTGGGGTAGCATCTCTGACATCGGCCAAGACAGCAGGTGTCTTCCTTTCTTGTCTTGCTTCCTCCCTAGGCCCCTGTGGGTGCATTATCCTCAGGATGTGACCACCTTCAGTATAGATGACCAGTTCCTGCTTGGTGAGAAACAGGGAGGGCAGGTGATGGTGGGTTGGGATAGGGCTCAGTGGTGAGCACTTGTGGGAGGAGGGGGGGTCTGTGGATGCCCAGGGAAGGGAGGAGCGAGTGAGGCTGGGCAGGCATTCTGGTGCTCCCTGTCTGGGAACCGACCCCCCAAGTTCACAGTTGATTCTGGTGTGTCTTAGGGGATGCGTTACTGGTTCACCCTGTATCAGACTCCGGGGCTCATGGCGTGCAGGTCTATCTGCCTGGCCAAGGGGAGGTGAGTTAAGGAAGAAAGAGTGTGGTGGGGAAAGGTGGTAGAGGCCAAAGAGGGTAAATAGGTTGGGGGCCTGTGCAGTGAGTGACCGAGTTATCTCCTGCCATCCACAGGTGTGGTACGACATTCAGAGCTACCAGAAGCACTATGGCCCCCAGACCCTGTATCTGCCTGTCACCCTAAGCAGTGTGAGTATGCCCGGCCCAGCTGCCAGCTCCATCTGCCTGCAAGTTTCCAGAAGCAGAGAGTGTGTGCTTCGGGGTCCAGGACCTAAGTGGGCACAGATGGGGAAGAGCAAGAGACGCTGCAGGGCCCAGGATCGACAGTGGGGCGACTTTGTCCCAGCACTGCTCTCGCCCTAGATCCCCGTGTTCCAGCGTGGAGGGACCATTATCCCCCGATGGATGCGGGTGCGGCGTGCTTCCGACTGCATGAAGGAGGACCCCATCACTCTTTTCGTTGCTCTCAGTCCCCAGGTGAGCACGTGGGCAGGGCGTCCCATCGGGCCTCTGCTCCCTCCCCAGGCTTCAGTCCCCCGGGGAGTGCCCCTCACTCTGTCTTGGGCCCAGGCTCTCACCCATCCCACCTCCTGCTCAGGGTACCGCCCAAGGAGAGCTGTTTCTAGATGATGGGCACACGTTCAACTATCAGACTCGCCATGAGTTCCTGCTGCGGCGGTTCTCATTCTCTGGCAACACCCTGGTCTCCAGGTAACGAAGCGCCCCTTCCTCCTTGGTAGCCTTGGGGGTGCTCACCGCTCACTGTGCTCCCCTCTCGCTATGACCTTGTTCGGGGTCTCCTCCTCCTTTCTGCTCTGACATCTTTCTCTCTGACGGGCGCCTGCTTTTGCTCCCTCTAGCTCAGCGGACCCCACAGGCCACTTTGAGACGCCCATCTGGATTGAGCGGGTGGTGATAATAGGGGCCGGAAAGCCAGCGGCCGTGGTACTCCAGGCAAAAGGTGAGGGGCAGGGCTGGCCCCTGGGGTGGGGACACCTTGCCGATAAGAAAGTAGGTGCTGTGCCATAAGCCGTTGCTGTAGCCGTGGAACTCTTTCTTTTTTTTCCACCAGGATCTCCCGAAAGCCGCCTTTCCTTCCAGCATGACCCTGAGACCTCTGTGCTGACCCTGCGCAAGCCTGGCGTCAACGTGGCATCTGACTGGAGCATTCATCTGCGATAACCCAAGGGATGCTGGGCAGGGGGGAGGGCGGTGGGTGCGGCGGTAATGAGAGTTCCTCTTTTTTCTGCCTTGGAGTGTGACCCTCCCCACACTTCAGCTTTCTTATCGGAAGACCCAGATTCTGCCAACATCTGGGCAGGATGAGAAGCTGTCCCTGGGCTCTGACTTCCTCTTGTGATCTCCTGACCGCTGCCACCGTCTCCCTCCATTTCCCCAACACTCTGTTGCTCTAACTGGAGCACATTCACCTGTGAAGACCTGGGGACCATGAGGCCCTTGCTTTCTCTCTTCCTTTTTTCGGGGGGCCCTGAATCTCCTCCAGACCCTCTTCATTCATACCTCTTGTGTGTTGATGCCATTTCTTGGAAGAAGATGAGGGCAGTGAGTTTTAGGGCTCCTTTTCTCCTTCCCCACTCTCCCCACCAAACTGCTCTCCCTCCTTTTATTTCTTCCTCCTGATTCTTCTCTGTCAGCGCTCCCCGTTTTATGCCCCCTGATACACTGGGACCACCCCTTACCTGATAAGGGATGAATGGATCAAAGACGTGAAGTTGCTGGAGAACATCCTCTTCCCTGTCACCCCAACCTTTCCTCTTCCCGATTGCTTCTAGAGCTGCTGCAATTCTGACAGGGGCAGTTCTATCTCCCCTGTCCCTTGGGGGAAAGAAGTTTCCACTCTTCCTCAAGAGGGGATGGGCATTAAACTTCTTTTGCCTCCTTTTTGTCCCCTTCAGGGGCATTTCAAGATGGAGAAATCAGTTGTGGTTTCATCGAATCACGGTCACCTGTATTTATTGTTGCGAGAAGGCTGAGGGTGGGGGGAGATGATCATGTGTGCCCAGGGTTGGCCCGAAGCCCTGGGTGGGGGGTGGGGCAGGACTAACTGGGGACAAGGGGTAATATTTGTGGCAATTTTTTTTACTTCCTCTTGGCCCCTAGCTGTGACAGGTTTTGATAAAAGGAGAAACAATAAAGAGATAAACCATAAGTAGTTGTTGTTGTCTGGATTCTAGTTCTGGCCTGAACCACAGACCCTTAGAAGCCTGAGGGCCTGAGATGTTCATCTAGCTTCAGCATAAGCCTCATCAGTTCAGCAAAATGAGCAAGTGCAAGTGGTCTTCAACTTGCTAGATGCAGGTAGTTTCATAGAGGAGTCCACCAAGGTCATCTGATTTTAGTAGGCCTACTTAATAGTGATGACTAGAGGGGCACCTGAATGGCTCAGTCAGTTAAGCATCTGACTTCCGCTCAGGTCATGATCTCATGGTTCATGGGTTTGAGCCCTGCATCGGCCCTTGTGCTGACAGCTCAGAGTGGAGACTGCTTCATAGTCTGTGTCTCCCTCTCTCTGCCCCTCCACCGCTTATACACTCTTGCTCAAAGATAAACATTAGAAATATTTCAGGGGCGCCTGGGTGGCTCAGTTGGTTGAGCGTCTGACTCCATTTTGGCTCAGGTCATGATCTCGTGGTTCATGTGTTTGAGCCCTGGGTGGGGCTCTACACTGGCACTGCGGACCCTGCTTGAGATTCTTCCTCTTTCTGTCTCTCCCTTGCTTGCACTCTCTTTCTCAAAAATAGTAAATAATAAAATAGTGGTGACCAGAGCTGATGGGGTCCCGCTTGAGTAGAAACAGCTATTTTGTCCCATGTTCTCACAAATCCTCATTATTTCAGTGATGGGAAATGGTTCTCTCCATTTTGTAGACTGACCACCAGTCTTAGAGACTATTTTACAAGAAACTAAAGGGGTTTGTTTTTTGTTTGTTTTTTTTAGGGAAAAGGACTCCTCAGGAAGGCTTGTGCGTATGAGTAGTTAGGGGATGTGTTCTTGGAATTCTCAGCTCAAGAAATATGTTTTTATTTATTTTGAGAGAGAGCAAGTGGGACAGGGGCAGAAAGAGGGAGAGAGAATCACAAGCAGGCTCCATGCTGTCAGCGCAGAGCCCATCGCAGGGCTCAAACCACCAACTGGGAGATCATGACTTGAGCCAAAGTCAGACGCGTAACCATCAAGAAATATTTCCACTTTCCTGGGAGGTGGCCCACTGCCTTGGCACCCCACTCTCGACTCCCCCTACCCTCACCTATTGCCATCTGTTTAAGAAATGGTCAGAGGAAACAGTACAGATCTAGAAGGGATAGAAAACTCCATAATGGCAATTTCACAGTTTTTGCCAACCTTGGTTACTTGTCTGTAAAGTGGGGACAATACCACCTATCTCAAGATTCAATAGTGAGGAATGCGTGACAAGACACCCAGATCACAGGCCTGGGACATGAGAAGTCCCAGATTTCATTCATTCAAGTATTTGTTGAACTGTTACTAGGTGCTGTGACTGACAGATAAATGAATGAAAATGAGGAAATCTGGGCACAGGAACTGATGCTCAGGGGAAAGGTTTCAAAGTCGCTCCCACCAGGTTTCTGACTGCCCGCCACGCGAGCTCTACACGCCGGATATGACGTCACCCACTCCCGTGGTTCCCAGAACTAGGCGGTGGGACCGGAAATTAACCCGGGGGGCGGTGTGCAGACTGACCGGAAGTGGGCACGGGCGCGCGCCGTCGGCCCCAGCTCCCGAGAGCCGGTGGAGAGGAGCGTGAGGAAGGCGGGACGCGGGGCGGGGCCGCTGCAGGGGCGGGGTCTGCAGGCTGGCGGGTGGGGGGCGGGGACCCCTCGTGCCCCCCGGACCCCGCCTGCCCGGGCGCCGGCGGCGGCACGGCCATGAAGCTGAAGCTGAAGAACGTGTTTCTCGCCTACTTCCTGGTGTCGATCGCCGGCCTCCTCTACGCGCTGGTGCAGCTCGGTGAGCGGGGCGGGGCGGGGGTGCGGCGGGCCCGTCCGAGGGCGCCGGCCGCCTTGCATCCCGCCCTGGGGACGAACCCCCGCGCAGACACCATTCAGCCGGCGCGGCCCTCCGACAGCCCTCTGCGGCCGCCGGGCGCACTCCCCTCTCTAGAACGCACCGCGGCTTCCCGCCGCACCTCGGATGAAATGCAGACTCCTTCCCAGAGTCCGCAAGGCCCCGCATGATCCTGGTGCCGTCCTCCTTTCCAACCCCGTTTCCTTCCCCACTGGCTCGCTCTGCTCCGGCCACCCAGGCTGCATGACAGTTTCTCGAAAAGCCCACGCTCGTTGCTCCCTCAAGCTCTTAACCTGTTCTGGCTGCAGTGCTTTTCTCCCAGCTCCTTTCTGGCGTCCTCTTTCTCATCCTTCCGGTCTCAGCTCAAATGTCACCGCCTCAGAGAGGCCTTCCCTGACCACCCTAGCTAGAGTAACTATTCTTTTTCCGGAGTCTCTTTTATTTTCTATCTTACGTCTTCCCTTCGCGGCCCTTATCACAATTTGTAATGATTTTACTAATTTGTTTCTTTGCTCCGTGTCTGCCTCCTCTACTAAACTGAAAGCTCGGTGAAGGCAGGGGTCATGTCTCCTTTGCTCCCTGCGGCATCCCCAGCACCTAAGGCTGTGCCTTCTACGAGGAGCATTCAATAAATATTTATCCAATCACGGAATCAATGAATTTTATGAGTCTTTGGTTACGTAGCCAAGGGAACAGATTGAATGTTGCCTCCTATTCAGAGGTTTAGACACCAGGCTTGGTCCTCAGGTATTTAAAAGATTGCCCCGTTTCAGGAGATTGACTTATTTATGGCTCCAGAAGGCAACATGAGGACCAGCAGGTAGATGGGATTGGAGGCGGATGATCAGCTCAATATCCGAATGAAAGCTGTAACAGATGGAATTTATTGAAGCTGGAGGGGGCTGCTGATCCAGCCACCAGGGGTGTAGACGAGGCTGTTGGGGAAGGTGTCAGGAGCTGGCTGCGCTGGCTGGGAGTTGAACGAGAAGGTTATGCCCCTTTGGGGGTGCTCAACGTACTGTGGTTCTCTGCCCCCATCCCTGCTTCCTGGGACCAGGCCAGCCATGTGACTGCCTCCCTCCCCTGCGGGCAGCAGCAGAACAGCTTCGGCAGAAGGATCTGAGGATTTCCCAGCTGCAGGCTGATCTCCGTCGCCCACCCCCTGCCCCTGCCCAGCCCCCTGAACCCGAGGCCCTGCCTACTATCTATGTTGTCACCCCCACCTACGCCAGGTATGGGCTCTGGTGCACCCAAGAGGCCTGGCATGGGCCGGGAGGCGGGGGTCAGGGAGGAGTCTGGGGAGTCACTGCGCCAGGGGCTGTTTCCCAAACTAGGGCATGCCAAGTGACAGGATAGAGGAGCCACACGCTTCCTCAAAGATGTGTGAGAAAATGGTCGTTTTTCCATTTCCATGGACAGGGCTGCCCTTGTGATAGGGGGATACAGAGTTCCTGGCAAATTTTAAGATAGAGCCATAAAGTTTCAAAGAAACGTGGAGCTTGCCCGAGAGTTAACTCTCTCTCGGGGATCTTTTGGGGAGAAAGCTTGAGCCCCCTGACCAAACTGAGATAGAAAAGGGCTTGGCCTTATGTCATACCAGTTACGCCAGCTGTGATTTAGTGTGTTTATTCTCCACTAGGCACTGTGCTAAGGACTTGACTTTTTTTTTTTTTTTTTTAATTAAAACGTGGCTTTATGATTGATACAAACCAACTGGGGAACACGGTTTTGGATCTACAGCTAAAGAGACTGCTAACACCTCCCTGAAATCAGACGGCTGACATCTAGGCACAGCCAGCTGTGACCCTGTCCCCTTACACACACACACACACACACAGCACCCAACCTGGGACAGGCAGACCGATCTGAAGGATAAAGAAGCCTAGAAGGATAAACTGGGCCACCCCTTCCCAGTTTCTTGTCTATCCTCCGGAAAATCGTCCCCCGGAGAGGAAGGAGGCAAAGGCCTCCTCTAAATACCTCTACCTGGGAACCCAAGCACGGGAGGAGGAGGACCTGGTCCTCAGGGTATTTTAGAAGGTCATTATAATTTCATCTTTGAGATGACGTTGTTGTAAAGTACTGTTATTCCCATTTGATAGCAGAGCAAGCTGAGGCTTGGGGCGATCTGACCCATTTCCCTCCAGTGTCTTACCTAATAAGTTACAGAGCTCGCATTCAAACCCAGAGCTGTCTGATTCCGAACCTGTGCGCCTTAACTTGTAGTCTCCCACAACCAGAGCGAGTGACAGACATGAGCTGCAGGAACAGGGGAGGGACTCACCTGCGGTGCGAACTTGACAGGCGAGAAAAGGAGTTTAGGTGTGGGGGCTAGGGAAGGACCACGGGGGATACTAGAAGGGGCCCAGGAGAAGCTATGTATACTGGCTGCAGGGAGCAAACGGCGCCCAGCCCTTGCCCCCCTCTCCATCTCTCCCCCTGCAGGCTGGTTCAAAAAGCAGAGCTGGTGCGGCTGTCCCAGACGCTGAGCCTGGTGCCCCGGCTGCACTGGCTGCTGGTGGAGGATGCTGAGGGCCCCACTCCGTTGGTCTCTGGGCTGCTGGCTGCCTCGGGCCTCCTCTTCACACACCTGGCCGTCCTCACCCCCAAGGCCCAGCGGCTCAGGGAGGGTGAGCCAGGCTGGGTTCGGCCCCGAGGTGTAGAACAACGGAACAGGGCCCTGGACTGGCTCCGGAGCGGAGGGGGCGCTGTCGGGGGAGAGAAGGACCCCCCGCCGGCAGGCACCCGGGGAGTCGTATACTTTGCGGATGATGACAACACCTACAGCCGGGAGCTCTTTGAGGAGGTGAGCGCTGGGGGAGGGGGGGAGGGGGAAGGAGGGCAGGCGGGGCCAGCTTCGCCCGTTGCCTTGGTTACCAGTGTTGCTCTAGGCCGCTGTGTGAGAAGGGGGAGCGGTGGGGCGCGTGGGGCGGAGTGACCCCGGCGGTCCTTCCCGCTGCTCCCTTGCCCCTGGGCCACCCCCTGTCTGCTTGTCTCTCCTGACCTCTCACAGATGCGCTGGACCCGTGGTGTCTCAGTGTGGCCTGTGGGGCTGGTAGGCGGCCTGCGATTTGAGGGCCCTCGGGTCCAGGATGGCCGGGTTGTGGGCTTCCACACGGCCTGGGAGCCCAACAGGCCCTTCCCGGTGGATATGGCGGGATTCGCTGTTGCCCTGCCCTTGCTGTTGGCAAAACCCAACGCCCAGTTTGATGCTACTGCTCCCCGGGGCCACCTGGAGAGCAGTCTCCTGAGCCACCTCGTGGATCCCAAGGACCTGGAGCCGCGGGCCGCTAACTGCACTCGGGTAAGGGGTGAAGGTGGGCAGAACGCCGGCTTTGGGCTACGGCAAGGTGCTGGGGGGTGCGGGGAAGTGGAGTAAGGCCTTGGGGAGGAGGATCACAGGCTGGGTGTTTGAACCATGAGGGACCCTCTGGGGCTCGGACTCAACCTTGCTAACTCTAGTGCAGGGGAAGCTGGGAGCCAGGGAAGGAAAGCCGTCTCCTGGGGAGCCAGGGAAGGAAGGCCACCTCCTGGGCATACCTGGAGCACACAGTGGGCGAGGGGCCTCCACTTGAGAGGCACTAAAGCCCCCTGCCCTTCACGCTTTGCAGCCAACGCTGTGTGTGGAGAGGGGGCGAGTGAGTGTGTTCTGCACAGAGGGCCCGGTTCTAACTGAAACCCTCCCGGGACAGGTTCTGGTGTGGCATACGCGGACGGAGAAGCCCAAGATGAAGCAGGAGGAGCAGTTACAGCGGCAGGGCCGGGGCTCAGACCCAGCCGTTGAGGTGTGATGGCCGGCCCCACCCTAACTACCACCTCATCAGGCACAGACCTGGGGGACTGGGCCCCTGGCCTGCCCAGGATGCAGTTTTCCCAGACCTGACCCCTCAGAGCCAGGGGCGTCGGCCCCTCTGCCCCCTCAGCCCCAGGGCGTGGCCCAGCTGCTTCTCCCCTCCCCCAGCCTGCCATGTGGCACTGCCCACAGACTGGGGACAAGCGGCCCTTGTGTTGAGCCAGGTCAGCCCTGTCTGGGGCGGAGCAGGACAGGGGCTCGGGAGGGGGGGCTGCTGAGCAACTGGGTAACTTATTGGGGCTGGGCATGCACTGGGGGGCTGGAGGAGCGGGGCTGGACCCTCCCCACCTGAGCATGCTGACCCCCCTCCTACCTCCAGAATAAAAGATCTCAAGCTGGAGGTGCCCTGTGGTTTCCTTCGTTCCTTCGTCTGGGTCTTGCGTTTGAGATCCTTCCCAGAGTCGAAACCCAGGAGTCCTGGCTTCTCTATCAGACAGAAATCAGTTCTCCCAGGCCCCCCACCCGCCTCGAAAGGAAGATCGGTGGTTTCAGTGCAAAAGCTTTATTGAGTCTGTGTGCCAGGAGCAGTCGCCAGCCCTTCCCACGTCGCTTTCCCATCACCCTGTGTTTTCTCTGTTCCCCAGTGGTTCTGGCCACGGGGGCTAAGCCCCGGACACCTAGTTTCCTGCCGCCCCCCGTCCAGCGTGGTGACTATCCTTAACCCCTCTAATCCCAGGGACCCCCCCCCCCACGTGGAGCCTTGGTATGGAGTTGTGAGGTTTTCAATGTTGTCCATCCCTCCCCTTCCCCCCTCCCGCTCCCCACCCCAAGCTTCAGGCCACTAGGCCTCAGGTGGACCCTCCGTAGGAGGTGCCTCTTCCGGTGGGGCCTCCTCAGGTGCCAGCCTGTGAGCAGCCCCTCCCTGTTGCCACGCTGTTTTCAGCATGTCCTTCAGCCCGCTGGGAAAGAGATAGCCCTGTGTCTCTCCCTCCCCATCGATGACTCCTCCGAGCCCCTCCAGTGCTGTCTGCAGGTACCGCAGGCCCAGGAGCACCAGAGACTGTTGGGGGCGGGAGGGGAAGCAAGGGGAGAGAGGTCAGTGAGGGTCAACGGGCCCAGGGGCCGGGGCTGGAGGCAGCAAGGAGGCCCAGGTGGAGGCAGCCCTCAGACACTTTGCTGACTCACCTGCAGCAGGAAGGTGACAGCCAGCATGCTGCCCAGCGTGCTCGCCAGCCCCTGCAGGTGCCCCAGCAGCACCCCGTGGCATCCTTGCGCCCAGAGGTTTAGGTTGGGCTGACGGGGATCGAAGAGAGGGTGGGCATGGGGGTCTGAGAGCCGGCTTTGCAGGCAAGGTCTGGGTGAGTGGGGGTTGCAGCAGGAGAAGGGGACACCGTCGATCAGATACAGGCCCTCCACGTTGCTCTGGATCCGGCTGCAAAGGGACGGGCAGGGGAGTTAGGGCGTCTGGAAGTCAAGGCCTAGGGGAAAGGCTGGCGGGCACGGGAATGGAGAAGGGAAACATGAAAGACCTTCACTGACTGGCTTACAGTGTGCCAGGCATGCATAATTCATTTATCCTCACAATAGGTCTGTAAGAGCGGTCCCATTATCTCCATTCTACAGATGAGGAAATGGGCCCTGAGCAGTTTGCTAACATGCCCTGGGTCACACGCCTGACAGCCAGCCCATCTGTAACCCATTCTCTCAATCTCTACACTCTATTGCCTGTCCCGGGTAAGGTGGCTTTCAAGGGAGGAGGAGGAGGAGGAGGAAAAAGAGAGGAAGGAGACCAGGAGGAGTTGGGGGTGGGGTGGGGAAGGAGAGAAACAAAACACTCACTCCACCACGTCCTGGTCATTGGGATCCAAGTACCGGCTGCTGACCCACTGGACCCCAAACCAATCCTTGTACCCGTGGCGCCCGCAGCACTGGTGCCTCAGCTGCAGCTCATCCAACAGCCGCTTGGCATGACAGTGTCCTGGCACCTCTGTGTCCTTGTAGTGAACCAAGGCAGTCCCCAGGCCCTCCTCCAGCCCGGTGTCCAGACTCCCAGGTAAAGCCAGGGCCAGGCCCAGGGCCAGGACCAGAAGACCCCCACCCCCAGCAGTGGCAGCCACCAGCAGCGGGCCTAGGACCTTCCGCCAGGGAGGGTATTGGGCTGCGTCCAGGCTGGCCCTGCTGGTCCCTGCACCCACCAGCCCTGTGCCCAAAGCCACCGCACCAGCTGCCAGGGCAACTCGGGGCAGGGCGGCAAATGGGCAGGAGGGAGCCAAGAAGGTGCTGAGCTGCCACAGCTGGACCTGGAGGTGTCCGCTAGACAGGAGGGTGAGGCCACCGGCCAGCGCCAGCAGCCAGGAGAGGAGCCAGAGCCCCTGTGCCAGACGGATGCGGGGCTGGAGGGGCAGCACCAGGGGCAACACCGGCGCCATCTCCCATCTCTGCCCAAGGGAAAGCAGAGCTGTCAGGGAGGAGGGTTGGCAGACGCAGGGTGCTGAGTCAGCCCAGCCCGGCTTGAGCTGGGCTAATGCCACCCTGACCCCAATACCCTGGGAATCCTCCCACCCCCATCCTTAATAACCCGCTGCCCTGGCCCCTGCCAGCCCCAATTCGAGATGCCTTGGCCTTGCCCCTTAGGAAAAGCCCCGCCCCCGGGCCAAAGGCCCATTTCATGACCCCGCCCCTGCCCCCTCGCGGAAGTGGGGAGGGGCCGGTCGGCTTTGCACCTAAGGGCTAGGGGCAGGGACTCCGAGACCAGAGAGGACCCCAGGGAGTCAGGGGGCGGGGATCCCGGAAGGGCCTGGAGGGCGGAGGCCCGGAGGGGGTCCGGGGGTCAGCTGGTTAGCCCTGCCCGGGTACTGAGCCGCGAGGCCCGGACAGGGAGGGGTTACCAGGCGGCCCGGCCCCCCCCCCGTCCCGCCCCCCCCTCCCGCGCTTCCTGGCGGCTCCGCGTCCGGCGCCTGTTTGTGCCGCGGCGCTGGGGCCCGGGACGGCCCCGCCACCCCACCCCCGGGAGCCGAGAGCGGCCCCGAGAGAGTCCGAGGCCCCGGCGGGTCCTGGAGCCTGCCGCCCCCGCCCCACAGCGCCCCCTCCAGGCCCTTTCCCCGCGCCCGACAGCGCCCCCGGGGGGTGGCACGGCACCCTTGCGCGCGCGCCCCGGGGTGCTTCCCCTTCCCCTCTCCCTGGCCATGGCCCCGGCGGCTTAGAAGCCTCCTCCGCCGCCGCCGCTCGGAGCAAGCCGGGGGCCGGATGGACGGGGCCGGGGGGCCCGGTGAGTACGGGGCGGGGCGGGCGGCGTGCCCCTTCCCAGAGCGCCGGCCGGTCGGCCGCTGCCAGTGCCCGACGGCTGTCTGGCGGCGTCCCCGCGTGCTCCTCGGCCTCAGAGGTTCTGAGCATCCTCCACTGTTCCTCAGGTCGCTCTCCCTAGTTATTTGGATCTCCTACTGTCATTTCGAGCTTCCTCAACGTCATCCTATTCCCCATGTTACTCTGGGCCCCTCGGTGTTTCTCTGCCCCCTGTGTTATTCCGGGCCTCTTCTCCCGGTATTTCGGGTCGTTTTTACGGCTGACCCGTTACCCTGGGACCTTGACTGTGACTCCGTCTCCACTTATCCCCTCTCCTGTCATTCTGGATCGCTCCTCCCGGTCCTGTGAGCCCTCAGATGACTGTCCTCTCCTGGCCCCCTCTTCTCTCGCGCCCCCTCCTCAGTTTCTCTGCCTTCCTCGGAGACCTGAGCTTTTGCTCTGGGGTGGGCCTCCATCCCACGCCGGCGCCGCGCCTCCCTGTGTGGTTCCCACGTTCCTGGGCAGTACTCCATATTTCCCCCCTGGTACTGCATGGTACTCCCTGTCTTTGCGGAGGCTGAGACAGCAGCAGGAAGGGAGCTCTGCCAGGCTCCTCGCCTGCCCTGCCAGAAGGAGGCCCTTGATCCTCTACCACCCGCCTCCTCCCCTCCGGGCCAGCCTCCAAGCCTGGGGCTGCTTGGAGGGGGAGGGGGGCGGTGCTATTGGACGAATGCAAAGTTGGAGGGAAGTCAGGATCCCCTCAACCCTTTTCTTCAGGTGGTGGGTACATTCTGAGTGCTTCTTGCGCTTTTCCCAGGTGAGGGCCCCGCTCAGGAGGCCCTGCAGTCCTTGAGCCGGCGGCTTCAGGTGCAGGAGAAGGAGATGGAGCTGGTTAAGGCAGCCCTGGCAGAAGCCCTGCGCCTGCTGCGGCTGCAGGCGCCCCCAAACTCCCTGCAGGACTCTGGTGCCCCCGCTCCTACAAGGGACAGGTAGGCAGGTGGTCACACCCTCTTCTCCTGAGGGGCTCTGGGAGCCTCAGGTTGATTCACTGTCTCCCCAGCAGCCCTGCAGCCCCCCCAGGACTGCCACCCACATGCAGCCCCTCCTTGGTGAGCCGGGGCACGCAGACGGAGACCGAGGTGGAGATGGAGCCGTCCCCTGGCCCCCCTGGCCTGAGCAATGGGCCCCCAGCCCCGCAGGGGGGCGGTGAAGAGCCTAGTGGGACCCAGTCTGAAGGAGGGGGCAGCAGCAGCAGTGGCTCCCCGGGCCCCCCAGGGATCCTCAGGCTTGTGCAGCCCCCACAGCGCGCTGACACGTAAGTGTCCTGTGGCAGAGGCCAGGAGGGCTGGAGGTTGGGGGGCGGGAAGCGCCAGGAGAGGGAATGATCCTGATCTTTACCAGCTCACTGTGCTCCTACCAGGGCGCGGAGAAATTCTTCCTCCTCGTCATCCCCCTCCGAGCGGCCTCGGCAGAAGCTCTCCCGGAAGGCGGCTTCCTCGGCCAACCTGTTACTGCGGTCAGGGAGCACAGAGAGGTGGGAGAGGAGGCTCCCCCAGCCCCCAGCCTGCCCCACCCCACCCCAGGCTCAGGCTCTTGACTTTCCACATCCCTTACCTCACTTCCCTGGGTGCGGTGGGGGGCCCAACAGAAAGAAAGGAACAAGCCCTCCGGGGGCCCCCGCTGTGTACCTGGCACTGTGCTAAACTCAATCTCCTCCATTTCATTCAGTTCCCACGACATCCTTGGGGGGTTAGGTGGGCTCATGCTGTTCATTGTCCAGGTGAGGAAGTAGGCTCAGAGAGGGTAAGTCATTTGGCTTGGGTCACACAGCCAGAGCTAGGATCCCAACCCTCCTCTTCCTGACTCCGGTTCTACCGTATCACCACGTACCTTCCAAGAGTCTGAGAGGTACCAAAAGCTGTCATGATTTTCAGGGTTTCAGCCCTGCCCCGCACCCCCCAACCGACCAGGCTTTATTTCAACAGAGCAAGGGGAAATCCTAGTGGCTGAGCATAATTGTCTCAGAGTCTGTACAGGCCCCAGGACTCGTCATGTCCTTGGTTTCCCCTTTATTCTCGGAAGAGATATTACTACGGTTTTTATCCAATGACAGCTATC